TAAAGTTCTACTTATTCCAAATTTCCCCCCCCCCCCAAAAAAAAAAACATCTACTTGTACATAACCCTTGGGTCATAACAACCATAATTTTCATTTTATCGGTTATACTTCCGTATGCATGTTCCGTACTTAAAATACGATCTGAATATCCCCAAACAATGTTGTTATTTATAACGGTCTGTGTGTCCTTTACATAATGTACGTAGATGTTCGGTCCGGCCTCCCGTCGTATTTCAGTGGGCAAACCGCACACTGCACTTTGTATAGGCCGTTTCTTCCGTATCTCTCTGTTCGTGGGTGTGGCTCTACCATGTTTTGAGTTGCGTTTCTTGTTCTAAATGCTATTCTTGTATTTAAATGAGATTTGAATATAAGACGGAATATCAGAGATATTTGTTAATTAATAAACAATGTTCAACAGGATGCTATAATATAACTTTATACATAAGTTCTAATTTTTTTTTTCAGGGGTGTGATACTTCATTCTTCACTCTAAGGGAACAACATATATGCAGGGAGTTTGAAAACAGGGTGCTTAGGAGAACATTTGAACCTACGAGGGACGAAAGAACACAAGAGTGGGGCAATTTCTTAAAGAGGAAGTTCATATTTTTCTACTCTTCACAAAATATTATTAGGGTCATAAAATCGAGGAAGTTGAAGGGAATTGGGAAGATTATAATTCTTTTTATTACTAGTGGGGTGGGACTAAGGCTGAAAACCCACTGACGCGACAAGCCGCGCGCGGTTAAGTTTTGGAACGCGGCACACAGGCGGCAGAGCTGTCGTACAACTAACGGACGCGCGCGACAAAGAGCGGCTAGCCGCTCGCGATTAGTCGCGTCACTGGGATTTCAAAGTCCCTTGTACTGCGGCCACTTCTAGTCTATTGGGAAGATTACATATATAAGATTTTAACTTGAAAATTTGTTTAGAAGAAACCAGTTTGGAGACCTAGGAATAGATTGGAAGGTGATATATTAAAATGGGTCAGATAAATAGCATGTGCATATGTGGACTGGATTAATCTAGGTTAGGATGGGAACCAGTGATGGGCTGTTGGGAACGGTACTGAACATTTGAGTTTCATGAAAGGCGATGAATTTCTTGACCAGCTGAGCTACTACTGGCTTGTCAACAAGGCGCTTTCGCTAGTAGAAAGCTATCCATACCCAGTGGGATTTGTCTGATTAGGTGCTGTGCGGGGCATATGTAAATATAACGTGAGCTGTGACAAAGTATCCATGATTTGTATATGGCGCGCAATCAGTTTATGAATCCGCAGGAGGAAACTTATTTTTTCTAGTTTTAGCGATTTGATATTACATCTGTTTTAGTTTTTCCATATGTCAATGTTTAATTTTCCTCAAAAAATTAGCGTCTTTGCACAAACTTATCAAATAGTATAGTTATATACTAATTACAGATGATCTCATATAACTTAACGTATAATTAGATTATAGGAAAGCTGTGATTCGAATCTAGTGTTCATATTATGATAAATTC